GATTCTAAACCTTTAGGCCATGGCGTGCAAAATTGTTTCAAAGCTTCACATTGCGCTCGGATTGCGGGAGGTGTAAGGTGTAGAAAATTTGGAATTTTCATAAGCTCTGCATTAGCGAATTTAGAAGGTGGAGCGGCACCTTTTTCTGTGTAACCTTGGCGTAAGGGCAGAGGCACAGAAGCTGGTTGAAATGTGCGAGGACCCGGCCAAACAGCAGTCCAATCTTGGTCAGTTTCCATTTTAAGGTGTCGGGGGGGTGCCACCGGATCTTTCTTGAAGACTCGCCGTTTTTGAGGTGCTGTTTGCTTTGTGGTCCGTAAATTTAACACGCGAAATTCTTAAACAAAGAGGTAGATTTTATCAAACGTGTTACGAATACTTTCCTATCCTAACCTTCATCTCCAATCTCATGCTTTTTCCCCGCAGGCTCATTTCCCAACTCACTGTATAAACGGCGTGGACCAGCTTTGGAATTACGTAAATTCCTTTCCACAAGACGAGCTAATGTTGCCATTGTTTTGCTAAAAGAAAATCTGCAAAATGTTTTATTTCAGTTAAACATATATTCTTTATTTATTTAGTTTTAATAATTTTAATCCTCCATAGAAATATTACAACCAAGAACGGAAATATAATAAAACAATTCAGTTTATTTATTACCAGTGATGTGGCGATCTGTCTTAGTGGTCTGAAAGTATCGATGGTACTATCGATTATATCGATGGTTTTTGACAATCGCATCACCATCGATAGCTTTCAATACTATCGATACTTTTTGATAGTTTTGAAGTATGTTCACATCACAGTATAGACAGTAACCATGGTTCAATAATACAAGGTTAGATAATTATTGACAGCTGCGGTTTGACACTCCCTTACAAAAGCTTGCTTTTACGAAGGACGGAGAAAGGGGAAGAATGAAATCTCTTGGTGGGAAAATGGTAGTAGAAAAGTCCGCATGGAGGCAATTAGTAGTGAAATTCCTTTTGTAAATTCTAATGTATTTGCAGGAAATCTGGCATTTTAAACGAAATGTTGAACATAACACTGATATATCTACGTGAATTACATAATTTATTTGCTATTTAGCTGTATAAAACTGCAAAATGACTCAAAATTAAAACAAGACTACTATGAGATTGATATAAACATCAAATTTAACAACAGTTTATGTTTTCATCAGTTAAATATGCTTCATATGCATGTACGAATAAACATATTGCACAAAAGCTTATTCTATTTCACAACAAAGCTACACTGTTTCCATGTAAATTTGCAAAGAAGCAACAAGGTGCCACTGTGGTGAGAGAGAGACAACTGTCAGTTTATCGAACCTTGTATTATTGAATGATGAACAAACACATCATTTTGACATTAATAAGTACCGCGGCGAAAATCTAAATTCGCCATCAACACCACCTTGTATAAATTCGCCTTGGTATCGATAGTTATGTCTTGTCGATAGTCAGCTCCATCGGTTGTTGCGATAGTGATGAACCATGAATACTATCGATAGTTTGCCACTGCTAGGAAGCGACATTGTTAAACAAAAATAAATAAATAACTATACGAAACCCGTGGTAGTGAAATCCGCCAGTTTTTACATGTTATCGTCTGAGATTTTGTCGGCTGGAAATATATATCTGTATGTAGAAAACTGCTGCTTCATTATTATCAGAGGAGAATGAATACGATTGTGTGGAGCAGTTTTTGTCCATACCAACAAGACTACCAAGATTATAGACGCAGATAAGGGTTATAGTAAAAATTTATAACTTAAAATCTAAAAAAAGATACATATGTATACTGCTAAAAATCAGATCATGAGCAAAAAATTATCAGTTTTTACAATCTGATTGCAGCTAACATCTCGTAGACGGGTCGGTTTGGTGGTTTGCTTGTGTTCAACATACATAAATGTTACTTGCAGTTTATTTCCTTCCAGCGACGAACATTGACTTATAATCTGAAAAGAAATTTGTAAACATTCGCAGATTTTAAATGGGTGATCTTAGTTTGAATCGTCGGGTGTTGTCAATACAAAGTCACGTGGTACATGGCTATGTAGGAAACAAAAGTGCTACCTTTCCACTTCAGGTACAAGTACTTTTCAGAATAATGAAATATATTTATCTATGTACATTGGGAGGGTTGTTGTTGTTGTAACAGCATACAGATTCCCAAAAGAGTTGTTGGGGAGTGTTGCTGGAGTGACAGTCCTTGGCCAGATAGAAATTTGGGTCGCTCCGGTTACGTTGTCCCGACTGTCGTGGGGAAGACATTGGGGTGGTCCTTATATGTTGTTTGCCTGGTGTTAACGGCCTTTCAACTAATCGCTCCCAATCAGGTTCGAGGTGCAACCAACTTTTGATTCAACTAATCGCCTATAAAATTGCCTGGAAAATCGCTTCATGTAAACACCGCATTATACGGAGCCGATACGGATAAGCCGATTTTACAGGCAACTTTTGGTTGAAAGCAACAATCGCCTGGTGTGAACGGCCTTTCAACTAATCGCGTTCAATGAAGTTGGGGAGCAGACAACTTTTGATTCAGCTAATCGCCTTTAAAATTGCCTGGAAAATCGCCTCATGTGAACACCGTTTTAAATGTAGGAAGCAAATTTGTACATCAGATTTCCTAAGCCTCAACACCTTCGTCGATGCTACTATAGTCGAAAATGAAACATTAATATTATCCAAAACCGTTACTACGATAGTCGAAAACATTACATTAAATTAAATTTTTGTCCCGATTGAAGTCGGTTAAGGCGTGTCGCACAATGGTCAAAATTCAGATTACCCTTTGAAGGCGTTATAACCGACTAAAATCGGGACAAAAATTTATCGACCTTAGTAGCACCGAATTTGGGTATTAATTGATTAATGAAAAATATTTTTAATTTTTCGAGTCCACAGAGTCATCTGGCCTCTGACCCTTTTGCGACACGGCTTAACCGACTCCAATCGGGACTCAAATTTTAATGTTTTATCCTCGACTATAGTAGTATCGATTTTGGGTATTAGATGAATAAAAAACTAATTTAGATTTTTTTAGTCTCTATAGAGGAATTTGTACTTTGCCGACCGCGCGACACGCCTTAACCGTCTCCAATCGGGACCAAACTGAAAACAACGTACATTTTATTTTAAGTGCTACCCTAATGTACATATGAATGTATTTAAGTTTTTATTGCATGCAAATGCCACTTTGGAATATAAACATATCGCACACCCAGATCTAAAGTGCGATCAACTAAAAAAAATGTAGGGCGATTTTTTGCATAGATGCAAAATTCATAGGACTTACATCAAATCTATGCGAATATTTTTTATTCATGATGATATACATTAACCAAAAAAACTACTGTTATACCTGTTTTTGCATTAATTGCGTTGAATCTCTACGATCCACAAACAGTTATATTTCCCTCTATATTTCGTGGTAGCTCACTTTAGATCAAGGTGTGCGATATGTGCGTGTATGATAGATTAATAATCGTATGTACATACATATATGTAAACATAAATATGTACATACTTCTATTGAAGGTACTTGGTTTTGAAGTGGACGCAATCAATTCTGTGCAACTGTCCAATCACACTGGTTATAAGTCAATTAAAGGTCAAGTACTACAAGAAAAGGAGATTGGTAAGAAAAACCAGAAGCTATATTTCATGTAAAGTCTATATGTTTTTTGTATTTGGAGCTTTTCCCCCGGATATATCAAATAAAACCACGCGTTTCGTCGCTTATTCGCTTCTTCTCAGGGAGTCTGTTTATTTACATAAATGTAGATACAGAAACCATAAAAAACAAATAACACGGTGCTACAAAAAAAGGCATGAAATCCACTCGAAAGAAAACCTTGGTTAGGTTGTAGGTATGATCGAGTACAACATGAAAACAGGTCTGTTCCTGAACCTTCCATTTTTATACCAAAAAACCGGTATTTTCATGCTTGATGCACTTATCTATTAATAGCTTTACCATTTTCCATCCCATTTAAAAATCGAACAAGCTTTGCAAATAGGTTTTATAGACCTTTCAAACGATGTATAACAATATATTGTTGGACTTAGCTTGTTGGGAGTTCTCATCGGTTAAATTTTAATGAGCCCCTATTTTTCTTCATTTTTATACCCGAGCGCACTTGTGCACAAGGGTATATTAATTTTGTTCACATAACGATTGTTTGTAACAGCCAAAACGAATCGAGATAGATATAGACAAATGTATACATAAATGCTCAGAATTAATAGAGAAATCGATTAAGCCATGTCTGTCTGTCCATCTGTCCGTCCGTCCTTGTACACGATAGCTCGGGCAAAAATTTAGATATCTCAACGAAATTTGGTATGTAGGTTTCCGTTAATCCAAGGTAGGTTGGTATTGAAAATGGGCGAAATCGGACTGTAACCACGCCCACTTCCCGTATGACGGTAATTTCCAGAAATACGAAAATGCGATATTTTAGTAACTACTGAAGATAATTCACTCAAAATTGATACTTACAATAATTTTCAGACGGAAAATAAGAATATTATAAATTTTTGGAAAATGGGCGTAGCCACGCCCACTTATGGTTGCATGTGTATATCTTGGTAACCGCTGAACCAATTTCTTCCAAACTTGGCACAGTTGTTGATCTTGATACAACATACTAAATGGCTGAAAATTTAAAAAATCGGACAATAACCACGCCCCCATCCCATATAACGGTAATTTTCGGAAATACGAAAACTGCCATATTTTAGTAACTACTGAAGATTATTCACTCAAAATTGACATTTACACAATTTTTAGACGAAAAATAAGAATATTATAAATTTTTGGGAAATGGGCGTAGCCACGCCCAATTATGGTTACATGTGTATATCATGGCAACCTCTGCACCGATTTCATCCAAACACAGTTGTTGGCCTGGGTACAGGGGACCAAATGGCCGAATATTTTTAAAATCGGACAATAACCACGCCCACAGTCCACAGGGTAATTTGGAGAAATACGAAATCTTCGATAAATCAGTAAATGTTAAAGCTAATTTATTCAAAATTGATGCTTGCAACAATTCTTTACCAAGAAATATGTTTATGGTAAAATTTTGGAAAATGGGCGTGGTACCGCCCACTTATTATCACATATATGTATATCGGTAATCGTTCTACCAATTTGTACCAAACTCGGTATTTTTATTGTGCTTGCCACATAAAAGCAAAACGTTGAAAATTATTGAAATCGGACTAAAATTACGGCAGCTTTTCATATAACGGTAAATTCCAGAAATGCTTGAAACTGCAATATTTCGAAATTTAAGGACGCTAATTTACTCAAAATTGATACACCCCGGCTTACCATCTAGCGGTAGGTTTCGGAAAGGTGAAAAAACATATATTTAATACTTGCGCCGGGTATTTATTGTTCGGCTCCACCCGAACTTAGACTTTCTTACTTGTTGAACTTTGATCATCGCTAATTTCAAAAATTTCTGTGAAAGTTGCCAACTATGTGATATTTATCTAAAAGCACATTTATTTTCGAATAAATTGGTACCTCAGCGGCTCTACATTCCTATTTTTTTATCATGGCCGCTACCACAACAACACTTAAATTTAAGAGATTTTTTTCAAAAAGTGGAGTTAATCGATGTGTGCTCTGAACCGTTCATATATCGCACACCGTCTTCAAAAGTCACAATTTGGTATTTTTGAGATTATGCGCTAAAAATGTACCCAGAGCTTTTATTTACCTTTCAGCAGATGCTGGAGCAAATTTTTGTTATACAATGTTAAAAAAAACCTAAGGTAAAGTCGCCCTTTCCAATATGATTATCATGTACTAAGAAATAGCTTTTCGCATTTTCTGACAAACGTATTATTTTGAGTTGTGACTCTATTAAAGACGGTGTGCGATATGATATATGTGGGCGGTGCCACGCCCATTTTCCTAAAATTTTATGGAAGTATATATCTATTTTGAGTAAATATTTATTAACCCCGTAGCGCACTGCTCAATAAATTGCACGTCCGATACATACACAGATATAAATTCAAGGCCGTATTTTTGCTTAAATTGCCGAACTTCGAAAATTTGTATGCAATTGCATTGGATAAGGTATCAATTTATTCGAAAATAAATGTTTTTTTTTAGATAAATACCACAAATTTGGCAACTTTCTTAGAAATTTTTGAAATTTGGAAATTAGGGGTCATCAAAATTTAGCGATGAAAACTCCCAACAAGCTAAGTCTAACAATATATTGTCATATCTCATTTTAAAGGTCTATAAATCCACTTTTCAAAACTTATTCGAATTCTTAAAATCGGATGGAAAATGATGCCTTTTCGGCATCTTCCGCACTCCGTCATTCTCCCACTCACCGCTACTTTTTATTTCTTTATAACAGCGAACGTTGGTAGAATTTTGTGTACGTATGTATGTTTGTTTGGTTGCGTATATTTATTTTAACACTTTTCGACGAGCGATCAAAAAACACGTCCGTCGGCTTTGACATTAAACGGCTATCCTTATTTGTATACATCACTTTCGCAAAAATATTTAAAAATTTTAAACATTTGTACCGGAACTATACGGGACCTGTTTTCATGTTGTACTCGATCATACCTATCGGGTGTATTTCATGACTTTTTGTTTGTAGCACCGTGTAATTATTAGGTACAAAAGAACAAATAACACGATACAAAGCAGTTTTGAACTTATTACACTTTTACAACTGGTAGAGTGCAATGGGGTATAGTTACGGTGACCATATTTATGAGAGCCGAATACGGGACAAAAAATATTTTTGCAAATTTGTTCCACAACAGCTTACAGATGTTAAAGCCTTCTTCAATGACCCTAATGTATTAGCCCTGAAACAGTATCCTTATAGTAACATAACGTATTTGCAGGATTATTTTCTCAAGATTTTTACCCCGTGAAATTTGTTAAAAAAATTCGTAAAATTTTAGTATAATAAAGTGCAACTTTTAGTTGCTCAGGCTTACCAATCATTTTTGGCAATTTTTTTTTTTGTTGACGGTGTTACGCATTTTTTCATACAAAGTAAGTTTGTTCGACCATTTTTTTTTAAAGAGAAGCAAATGAGCAGCACTTTCCACTCGCACTTTATAATACTCAATTTTAATAAGTTACAAAACTGCAAAACAATTTTTTTTAAGATTCTAATTAAAAAGTTTGAAATTTTGAGGAAACCTTGCAGAATTAATTTTTATAGTTTATTGCCCAAAGTTGGAAATTTTATATTATATGGTTTTTGTTAACAAAAAAAAGCTTTTGTACTTTCATAAAAAAAAAATATTAAACATTAAATAAACTAAGGTAAAATAGCCAAAACTTACTAAAATGCCGAGTCCTAATTCCTATTTTAGGCATTGTATGTAGTCCTCGATTCGAATCACAATCTTTCACATTAGAAAATAATTACTCTTTATGGAGAAAATTAGTACCCTATATGTACCAACATCACTTAAAACTCGTTCATAGGCGTGTCATTTTAATGAGCTGTTAAGGCGTCGAAACACCGAATACGGGACAAATACAGGACATTAAAAGAAATACAGACCATTTGGCGTCCCGTATGAAATAAACAAATTACCAGGACAATGGGTCAAAAAAGAGGGCAGTCCCGTATAATACTGGACGGATGGTCACCGTAGGTATAGTCGGTTTTCTGGTATGCACTCTGGGCAACGCGAACAACCCCAACATAAGTGGATACTTGGGTCACGTGAGAAAGAGAGGGAGCTTCGGTGGGCCCAATCCGACTTAATCGGTTTAAGGGTTCTCTGCAGCGTCTGTTCACCAGTTGGTGCGGCTGCAAGCGGGTGTCTGTTTTGGAGCAAGCGGTTCGCTATATAAACGTGTATTCGGTTGCGAAACCACCCCCGGCCCAGCAATGGGTTGTCAGCTGGGTTTGGGACCCACCTCGTAAAAACAGGCTCTAATGAAAAAAAGACACATAGCCTCAGAAGAGAACCCCTCGTTTGATTATGACCAACGCAAACGTTTAAAGGACTACGATTTGAGGGCTTGCACCTGGTATGCTCGGACCCTTAATGGGGAAGGCGCCACTGCCCGGCTGATTGATATCCTCATAAGTAAAAAAGCCGACATCACCGCCATGCGTTGGACGGGGCAAGGCAAAAATACCTGGGACCTTGCGACGTCTACTACAGCTGTCACGCAAAGGAGCGCAGATTCGGTCTTGGATTTGTGGTGGGAGAGAGACTCCCTCGCCGAGTACTGTCGTTCACCCGGTGGACGAGCGTCTAGCCACAATCCACATCAAAGCGAGACTCTTCAACATCTTGCTAATCTGCGCCCATGACCCGATGGAAGAGGCGTCCAAGGATCTTTTCTGTGAGCGTTTGGAGCGCACATAGGAGCGCTGCCCTTACAATGATATCAAAATCGTGCTTGGCGATTTCAAGGAACCACCGTCGTAAAATTCAGCTTCCACGACGAAACGTTCGACAACGGATTGAGGCTGATTGACTTCGCTGGTGCCCAAAACATGGTAGTATGCAGTACTAGGTTCAAGCATAAATAGATCCATCAAGCTACGTGTTTGTCTCCAGATCGAAAAACGAGAAACCAAATCGATCATGTTGTGATAGACGGAAGGCACGCTTCCAGTGTTTTAGACGTACGCACACTCCGAGGCCCAAACATCGACTCGGACCACTATCTTGTTGCAGACAAGATACGCTCCCGCCTCTGCGCAGCAAAAAATGTGCGCCCAAATATGCAAGAAGCTTAACGTCGAAAAGCTGCAATCACAACAGATGGCTAATGCAACCGCTACTCGACTCTCACACCTGCTCTCAGAGAGCACTCTTCAACAAACCGACATAGGCGAGGAGTGGAATCACATTTCCCGTTCATTAAGTACCGCCGCCAAAGTAGTCGGATTTCAGCGAGCCCGAAACAACCACTGGTACGATGAGGAGTGTCAAGAAGATGCAGAGAAAAAAGATGCCGCCTATAAGGCCCAGCTGTGATCGGGCGCAACGCGGGGGAGCTGAAGAGGGAAGCGAGACGTATTTGCCGCAATAAGAAGAGGGGCCGAAATTCGTTAGTGCGAACAGCTTGAAATGCTGGCCGACAGGAAAAACGCCCGAACATTTTACCAGGGAGTTAGGTGACTTATGGAAGGTTTTAAGACCAGGGCGAACTCTTATAAGAACAACAATGACGACCCAGTGACTGATGTCCAGAACGTACTTAAATAATGGGGGGAACACCCTACTGAATGGTAACAGCACTGAAAGCTGTGGAGAAGACGAACCCGAGCCACCATCGATGATGACGGAGTCGATGTTCCTCCACCTGACTATGAAGAAGTACGAATAGCAATAGCGCGCTTCAAAAACAACAAAGCTGCTGGAGCAGACAGTCTGCTAACTGAGCTATTCAAGTACGGCAGGGAGAAGTTAATAAGGTGCATGCATCAACTCTTATGCAGAATAAGGTCAGATGAACACATGCCCGGCGACTGGAATTTAAGTGTGCTCAGCCCTATCCACAAGATAGGCGATCCCGCCATTCGCGCCAACTACCCGGGATCAGCCTTCTAAGCATAGGCTACTAGGTCTTATCGAGCGTATTGTGTGAAAGACTGAAGCCCACCGTCAACGAATTGATTCGGCCTTATCAGTGTGGCTTTATACCTGGCAAATCCACCATAGATCAGGGATTCACAAAACGTCAAATCTTAGAAAAGACCCGCGAGAAAAGGCCCGACACTCCCTACCTATTTGTCGACTTCAAAGCTGCTTTCGATGGCACTAAAAGGAGTTGCCTATACGCCGCGATGTCTGAATTTGGCATCCCCACGAAACTGATACGTTGAGCAATACCACCAGCTCCGTGAGAATTGGGAAAGACCTCTCCGGGCCGGGCGACTCCCTTTCATGCGATTTTTTTAATTCGATGTTGGAGAAGATAATAAGAGCTGCAGAACTGTACCGCTTAGGAACAAGAGCGTGCAAGTGCTTACGTACGCCGATGACATCGACATCATCGGTAACAAGAACCGGGAAGTCTGTTATGCCTTTTCTAAGTTGGATGAGGAAGGAAAGCGAATGACGGTCAACGAGGACAAGACGAAGTATCTCCTGCCATCAAACAAACAGTCAGCACCTTCGCGCCTTGGCACCCATGTCACTATTGACGGTTATTATTTCGAGAAAGTAGAGAATTTCGTTTACTTGGGAACCAGCATTAACACCGATAATAATGTCAGCATTGAAATCCAACGCAGCATCACTCTTGCCAACAAGTGGTACTTTGGACTGAGTAGGCAATTTAGGAGTAAAGTCCTCTCTCGACGTACGAAAACCACACTCTATAAGTCGCTTATCATGCCCGTGTTGGTATATGGGGCCGAAGCATGACAATGACAACATCCGATGAGGCGGCTCTTGGAGTATTCGAGAGAAACATTTTGCGGAAAATATACGGGCCTTTACTCATTAGCGATGACGAGTACCACAGACGATGGAACGATGAACTCTATCAGCTTCACAACGAAATATACATAGTGCAGCGAAATAAAATACAGCGGCTCCGCTGATTTGGCCATGTCGTTCGAATGGACTTCGCCGCTCCATTTCTGATATTATTCAACTCGGAACCTGCTGGTGGTAGCAGAGGAAGAGGGCGGCCTCCACTGCGTCGAAAAAACTAAGTGGAGAAGGACTTGGGTTCACTTGGCATTTCCACGGCTGCCGTGCTTTGTTGAACTCGGCCAAAATCGCTTAGGTGGTTACAGCGCCAAATAAGAAGAAGAAGAGGACATGGTATACATTAATGTTTTATTTCGTACTAGCTTTTGCCTACGAGTTCGTATGCGTGGAATTTAGAAACAAGTCTCTACATATATTTTAATTTTTGCAGAGACAATTGAGAATTAAATATCAAGAAAAATGGACTTGTATAATTAAAAATCGTTTATTTTTGTGCAAAATGAAATAACAAAAACTAAACAAAACGACTCAAGGTATTTGAGAGGTGCCAAGCCCACTTTTCCAATAACCTCTAGTTTCCGATTTGTCATTTATAGCCGTACCAAAATCCAGTGCTCGACCGCAAATACTTTTCAGAGATATGCAGCATGTTTGGGAGGTGGCACGCCTACTTTTTCAATAACCTTAATTTTCGTGAAAATTCTGAAAAAATTATGCAAGAAGTTATGTGTAGGTTGTGCTAGGCCCTATATTTTAAGTTAGACCTCTAGCCATACAACGGTGCATTCAATTCCATGCATTAACTTTTGAGTGATGCGCGTACAAACATACAGACAGACAAAAATTCTAAAAACTGTTGATTTGGCTTCTGTAGCTCTAGTAAAGACTCCCATATTAGTTTTTCCTTAATATCTATAATGTACAGACATCGACATGGTACAATTTTATTATATGTATAGATAACCGGCTGAAACGCTCTAAATACAATAACATTACACTTTCAACTTTGCTCCTAGAAAAGTAATTATTAAATATTTATTTTTTAGCTGAATTATTCGAAGGTCTAGAAGCCAACGACCTTTTGCAATGTTACACGCATTTACTGACCGGTTACACTGGTAATGCGTCATTCCTACGACGAATTTCCAACATCGTGATGAAATTGAGGCGGATTAATTCAAACATAATATATGGTAACATATTCGTAAAATATAAAATATACATATATATGTACATATATATATTTACCTTTGAAACTGCTCGCTCAAATAGTTTGTGATCCTGTAATGGGAGATAACGGAAAAATGTATGTACCCGAAGAACTGCTACCTATCTATCGTGAGGAAATTGTACCACTCGCTGATATAATTACCCCAAACCAATATGAAGTGGAATTATTGACAGAAAAAAAGATTTCCAATGAGAATGATGTTTGGTCTGCAGTTCAATGGTTCCATGATCGTGGCATTGATACAGTTGTCATTTCTAGCAGTGAGTTAGGCAAAGAAAACGAGTTGCGTGCATTCCTAAGCAAGAAAAATGGGTCTCGATATATAATAAATATTCCAAGGCAAGGAAATGGCATATCATTCACAGGTAAATATTTGTGTATGCACATATGTATGTAGTTGTTGCTAGAATTCATAAAATATAAATAGGGACGCGACATTTGCAGAAGTGTTGGCTTTTTTCTATCGTTTATTCGATGTTTATTATTATTTTTTTCAGTATAGCTCGCTACAAGGCGAATTTATATAAGGTGGTGTTGTTTCATCAGCTGTGAGTAGCGTTTGATTGTCAAAATTGTGTATTTCCCCCGTGGGAATTAGGAGCACGTAATAATACCTTATTAGCAACTTACTCTTCACCTGGCAGTCATTACCATTTCCCTGCCGAACGTCCCTTACTTTTGCAAAGGCATGGCCGCCTTATGTAAGTAGGAATTTAGAATGTACATTTGGTATCAGACATACTTCTGAGCCGCTTTACAAAGTAAGTTACGTGTAGTGCAAAGAAGTCGCTCGGAGTAGTTCGGCGCTTGGAGATAACTTCGGCTGCACGTTACTTTGCAACTGACAACGTAATGTGTCGTTGGAGGTGTTCATTTTGTGCTTTACTAGTAGATGACATTGGCCATGATGACAATTTTGGTACTAAAAACTGAAAGAAAACATGGCTTACCTCGTAAGGTGCTTACCTATTTTCCCAGTGGGTCGTTAGCGAGTGAGTGAAAACGTGAGAGTGTTTGTATTTTCTGTCGCCCTTTTTCATTCGGGGAAGAATAGCTGAAATTTGACAATGGCCCGCTAAAAACAAAAACTAAATACAAGTAATTGTTGTATTTGTTGAATCGTTACCACCTTATATGTAATCGCTTTGGCTCGCTATATAAAAAAAAAGGCGCGAGTACTAGGTACTCATGAAATTTAATGTGTAAACATATGCGAACGGCAAAGCATAAAAGTACGTTTACAAATAAGTATAACCTCGATCAAAGCTCGTTAGCTGTCAAATTGGTTGTGCTTGTTATTCACACAACTCGAGGAAAAGTTAAACTTTTTCTCTGTGCCACCGTGGTCACGTTTTTCTTCAACACATATTATGCCATTTCAATATATTTTAACTGAATATTTTATTAAAAATACCTTTCCAAACCTATTTTCCTTACTAACGTCAATTTTTGTTTACTTTAACATTTGACATTCCTCCTCTTCTTCGCAAGTATAATCGATAAAACTAGGTTGGACACTAAAAAGTTTCGGTTTAATCTGAGATATTTTTAATTAAAATTTTGCAAGGCTAATCTGTTTTTCTAATAACAGATTGGGGAGTTCGAAAATTAGTATAATCTTTTTATATGTAAAGCTATTATTAGGCGATTCAGTTACATACATACAAATGTAGGTTAGGTTAGAAATTAAACATTAATTGCACTTAATTTTATTCATTTTGCTGATTTAATTT